GGCTGAGCAACCTTAATACTAAAACAGCCAGACCTGAAATTATGTCTTTCAATCACCAAAGCACAAACTCTTAACAAACCTGTAAACAAATATGATTTCCCATACAAGCCACACCAGTTAAGAATAAAATATTTAGAAATAAATTTAACAAAAGACATGCAAGACTGCTACACTGAAAATGCCAAAGCACTGTTAAAATAAATTAAAGATCCAAAATACATGCGGAAACTCCCCAGGCATATAACATCTATCAAAATTCCAGCTAGAGATATTCCACCCATTTTCCTGTAAATGACAAATTTTCATTCTTCTTTATAGCTTAATAATACTGCACTGTGTATGTATACACATTTTCTTTATCCTTTCATCTGTTTATGGGCACTTAGGCTGGCTCCAAATCTTGGCTGTTATGAATTGTGCCACAATAAACATGGGTATACAGATATCCTTATGACTTCATTCTTTCACCGCCCTTACAAATTTCTAAACATATTCTGAAGCTGCAATAATCACAACAGTTTTATCGAAAGGAACAGTTAACATTTAATTTTTTTTTAATCTATCTTGTATGCCTATGTCTGGTAATCTGAACAACTACTTTGAAGATAACAATACGCACTATAACAACCATTGTCGATTTCCTAATCATCTTGTTTTGAAATTCTATATCATTTTTGTGGTTTTAAATTTTTTATTCTCTTTAAAATAAAAAAATAATCACAGTAGTGTAGTCCTGGCATATGAATATATATCTAGATCAAGAGAATAAAATTAAGAGAGCCAGGCGTGGTGGCACATGCCTATAATCTGAGCACTCGGGAGGCTGAGGCAGGAGGATCATTGCGAGTTCAAGACCAGCCTGGGCTGCAAAGTGAGCTCAAGGCCAGCCTGAAAAGCATAGCAAGACCCTGTCTCAAACAAAAAAGAGTGAATAAAATTAAGAGTCCAGAAATGAATACTAATATTTACAGCTAATTGATTTTTGACAAAGGAACTAAGACAATTCAATACAGGGAAGAATAGATCATCTTTTTAAAAAAAAAAAAAAAAAAAAAACTTACTTTAAAACAGTTTTATAAATACAGAATCACTGTGAAATACCTTCTTCAACAAATGTTTTTGGGACAACTGGATATCTACCAGTTTGGATTGAAAAAATGAATTTGGATTTCTACCACACACAATAAACAAAATTAACTTAAAGTGGATCACAGACCTAAATGTAAGAACTGAAAGTCTTACAAGAAAGCTCAAATGTAAATTTTCATGACCATAAGTTAAACAATAATTTCTCAGTTATGATACCAAAAGCACAAGTAATAAAAGAAAAAATTGGTAAGTTCAACTTTATTGAAATTAAAAAATTATTTACTTCAAGTAACACAATCAAGAAAGTGAAAAGACAACCCACAGACAGGGAAATAATATTTTAAAATATATATCTGACAAAGTACTTGTATCCAGAATATATAAAGAGCCTCTACAACTCAAAAATAAGAAGACAGAAAAAAATTAAAGGTGGTTATCCATGTGCAGTGGCGCATGCCTATGATCACAACTCCCCAGAGGCTGAAGCAGGACAGTCAAAAGTTTGAGCCCAATTTGGCATCTTAGCAAGACCATGTCTCAAAATAAAAAATAAAGAGGCTAGGGTGTAGTTCAGTGATAGAGCACTAACGTAGCATATGCAAAGCCCTGAGCTCAATTTCTAGAATAAAAAGAAAAGAGAAAGAAATGAACAAAGGTGTTTAATAAACAGTTCCTCAAAGGAGATATACAACTGACCAATAAGCTCCTGATAAGATGCTCATTAGTTATTAGATAAATGCAATTCAAAACACAGCGAGACACCATGTTACAGCCCCTAGGATGTCTATAATCAAAAAAGACACACAAAGCAATGTTGGAGAGGATGTGAGGAAATCAGACCCTTCATACATTGCTGGTGGGAATTCAAAATCATGAGGCACTTTGCCAGTCTGACAGTTCTTCAAAATGTTAAACATAGAGTTATAATATCACCCAGCATCCCACTCCTTGGTGTCTTCCCAAGAGACATGAAAGCACAAGTCTGCAAAACAGCTTGTACGTGAATGTTCATACCAGCATTATGCATCGTAGCCCAGAGTGAAAACAATTCAAATGTTTATCAACTCATAGAAACATAAAAAGAAATGAAGTGCTGGAATAGTCTCCAACATGGATAAACACTAATGCATGATGCTCAGAAAAAGAAGCCAGACGTATTTGTATGAAATGTCGAGAAGAGGCAAATCCAATACAGCCAGAAGGTAGAGGAGTGGTTGCCTCGGGTTGAGCAGAAGGACAGCTGGGGAGTGATGGCTAATAGGTACAATGTTTCTTTGGGGCGGGGTGTCAAAAATGTTGTAAAGTTTTATTTTGGGTCGTGAAAGTCTGTAAAAGTGAATTATACACTTTAGTGGGTGAGTTTTATGATATGTAAACTATAAACTGGTTTTTTTTAAAGACTGAATGAGATGAAACTACAGCAGCAAGTATAGACAAGTCCCCCAAAGAATTCCTTGAACCCTTAAAAGTTTTTAAGAAAATTACCAGTATACAATCGCATTTGTTGTAGCAAGAAGGAGAATGTTCCAGATAGAGGGGGTGTGTGTATTGCTTCTCTGGTCTCTAAGTGCACTATCAGCCCAATTCCCAGGCTTTATCCTCGCTGTTCACATCGACCCTTGCTCACACCATGCAAAGGCGCATACTGTGCATCTTCCTTAAACTCACTGATAATTTCTGCTTTTACCCCCTTTTTCTTTTTTTTTTGGTTTTTCTCCGGTACCAGGAACCGAACTCATGACCTTGCGCTTGCCAGGCAGGCGCTTTTGCCACTGAGCTAAATCCCCAGCCCCTACCCCCTTTTTCTATTCCCTTTACCCTGGTACCATAAGGCTGAAAACTAATCAGCCTCTGTGTGTATTATTAGAGAAATAAATTCCTTTATATGTGCAGCAAGCAAGGCCACCAAGATTCTGGGGAAACAGGAGGGAGGTACCCAGAGGCATTTTCTGCAGAGAGGGAAGAAAAGAATAAACAAATCTTCTGCCAAAAATGCCTGGAACTTAAAGCGTTTTCCTCAGCCCAAGGTCAGGCGCTGTGTAGATGGGGACAGAGAACCTGGGAGTTGCTGCTGCTCTCTTGACAGAAAGCATGTGGCTTTTTCTCTTCTGACATTCACCTCTGCTAATTCCACCTGCCAAGGGAGTCAGATCCCATGGAACAAGTGTCATTCCTCAGAGTGGCAACTGGCTGAGCTCCCAGGAACAAGGTAACTGCATAGTGTTCCCCCGCCATCAGAGGCATAGACTCTCTGAGCAAAGGAGACGAGGGCCCCTGGACCACCCACCCCACCCCCACGGAGTGAAGGGAAGCTGTGAAGTCATTACTGAAGAGGGCAGCATCTACCACTCCCCCCACTGCCACCAAGGAGCTGGAAATCCCTGGCTTTTTTCTTCCTCTTGGAATGAGACACTGACCCTAGAGAATCGCAGAAAAGTACAAGCCGCAGAATTAGAAGCACCATGGGAAAGGGTACCTCCGAAGTCATCTTCATTGCTGGGCCGCCCCGATGCCCCACAACCAGGTGTTCTCTTTTGGTCACCATTGCTTGCCTTTGCTTGAAACAACACAGCCATTGCCAAGACTCTCACTCAGACCCGGAGCGGCAGCCATTGCTGGCCGGACAGCGCTAAAACCACATAGTCACTCCCACTGTCGGGTCTGAAGGTACTGCCTTGTCCCTTCCAGCGCTCTTCACACCCCTCCTTCTGCATCTTTGAAAGTGCTGTCAAGTCTTTCTTCTGCTTAGCCTTCTTGCTGGCCCCGGACTTACCCTTTATTTTCAGGGTAAGGTTTATCCCTTTATCCCAGTTACATCCACGAGTCTAACAAAGACAAGCCTGGGCTTGGCTCTGTCTGAGGTATTCTGTCCACTGTGGCAGGGGTGGGAGACATCTGCCAGACCGCCTTGGCTTTGCTTTCCGCTTTCAACTTCTCGTTCCCCACTTGGACCTGAGGACAGACCCGCCCTCCCAGCCCCTCTGGGTAACCACCTACTTGCCAAACCTCAGATCTGGCGCTGGCCCATCGTGAGGGCATGTGGACCACCTAACCTACACAGAGCACCCTTGTCAAAGTCGGTTTCAAGTCCTGTCTTTATTTGTATCTGCCCTGCTCTGGCTGGGTTGCTCAATATTCCCTTCATTCACTGCGTTCCCCCAGTGTAGTGGTTAAGAATACAGGTATAGGACTTTAGATCAGACGATCCAGGTTCTGCCAGGTTCTGTGAGAATTTTAGAGAAATATCTTAAGCTCTCTGAGCAACAATTTCCACCTACAGAATTGGGAATTGTAGCTTTGTCATGATCGTGCGGATAAATGAAATCATCTTCACGAAGCACTCAACCTACAGGCCTACACATTCGTGTAAGGCAGCGTATGCCCTCTGCCATTTTCTTTTAAAATTATCGTTCATCCATTCATCCTGTGTTTACTGAACCTCATGCCAGGCACTGGGATATTAGTATGGCTCTTAAAGAGTCGCAGCCTCCTAAATCTAGGAAGAACTAGTTCACACTGGCTTCCAGAGAACAAGGACCTGGGGCCTATGGCCCTGGCACAAGAGAGAAGACTAGATACAGAGAACCAGGTGCTGGCCAGGGACAGTGACAAGAGTGCTGTCCATCTTCCACATCTCTTTAGCTACCCGTGTGACTCCCTGGGTAAGGTGAGAACCATACTGACATGGTGGGTAACAGAGGGGAAGTGGGAGGTCCCCAGGGAAAAAACCCTCTTCTTCTCTCCCCTGCTCTCTGACGGAGAGTGGCCATGCCTGTGCCCTGCAGGAGGGTGATGGCCTTTGGGGAGGCCTTGTTCAATCCATCTGGACTGTTCCGGAAGTAGGAAGGGAGGCGGGGGTGGGGAGGTGACAGGAATGTTCTCCTGGCCTGCTGCTCGGTGCTGCGAGTGTGCAGAGAGGAGGGCCTCTGGACATCAAAGGGTCCTTTTGTCCCCTTCGGAGTGGCAGGGCAGCCCGGCCGCTGGCGATGACTCAGGCCTGGCCCTGACGTCACCCACGCCCGGCCACTGGCCTCCCTCTGCAGCCAGGAAACCGGCTGGGGAGTGGCACTCGCAGCTGCAGCAAATCTCAAAATAAGGAGGCCACAGCCTTTCTCCTCCTTTCCACCTCCTCACAGCACACCTTTCTTTCTTTTTCTTCTTCTTTTTATCTTGTTTAAAGCCTCGTGGAAGGTTTTGCTTGTAGATCAACTTTCCAACGTAGGAAGTCAGAATGAGTGACATCATCAGAAAAGTATGTGGAGCTGATCTCGACAAAGAGTGAAGAACCCAGAGCGAGAAAGCGCCTGTAACTCCTGAGCCCAGGGAGTTGGCAGCGTCTGGGCTTCAGAGGAGCAGCTCAACCGAGTAAGTGAAGGCCCACCTCGGGCCCCCTCGCTCCTCACTCTGCCCTTTGCTGTGGGCGCCATCTTGTTCCCTGACACCTGAGGCCGGGCAGGCCCCATCATAGAGGGGAGTGGGGAGTGCTTGGGAGACCCAGGAATACAGCCTGAAAGGGAGCTGAGCTCTCTCTTCTCCACAGAACCAGACAAGAACACACACACACACACACACACACACACACGCACAGACACGCACACAGGCACACACGCACACACGCACACACGCACACACGCACACACGCACACTCGCACACGCACCGCACCGCACCACGATTCTCAGGCTGAAACTCTGATGGACAATGACCTACGGGGGCCTTTCCCTGTCGCTTCTATCATTTCCCACCCCTGTGTTTCAGACTGCCAGAATGTTTGCTCAGAGTTCTGGACTGTTTGCTTCCTGGATCTATATCAAGTGATCAGATATAAAAATAAATCCTGTTCTAGGCAAACACGTAGCCTGTGCCATCAAATGGTAGTTTGACATTTAATCGGGTAAAAGATGGCAGCCCTGGTTAAGAAAACGTATACAATCCTTCTGCCTTAACAGGGCAGGGTTCTGGTCACTCTGGTGTATGCACCTTCTTTATGTCATCACTGAACAGAGAAGTTATTTTCATTCCTACCTGCACCATCGCATCTGGGACGATACTGAACACAAAGACACATTGTAATATGTCTGTTTTAACTTCGCCTAAAACTCCTAAGCCTTTGCACAGCCTATAATTTACAATTTCTGGAAGTTCTTACACAAGAACTTTAAGTTTCCACCAAAAAAAAAAAAAAAAAAAAAATTAGCAGTACATGGAAGTGAAGAACAAATAGAGAAATCACACCGCGATTTTCGTGGCTTCTAAATTCATCCCCTGAATCATCATCTATTATTTGTACAAATCACTTAGCAGAGTATAAATCCAAGAGTAAAATGATGGGGGATATATTTTTAAATGAGTATTATTCCTGGGAAATGGTAGCAAATTCCTTCATGAGCTAACGCCCTTTTAAATTAACTATCAGATTCTAATATACGTTTTGCACGCCTTTATTTTACTCTTTTTTTGTTTTAATAGATCAGATTGTCTGGAAGTGAGGCTCTGCCGTAAAACTGTTCTTCTGCAAGATCTAAATGCTGTGATCACTGATTTGGTGAGTGTATTTTTGGCCCTAATGGCTACTTATATTTAAGTCTACTAATTCTACTTTTCTGTTTTAGAGTAAGATTTAAAGAAAAGGTAAAAGTGCACAGAGACGTCTGCAGAAAACGGTAACAGTTGAGTCAAAGAGGATAAGTATTATGATAGACTAATTGCTATAGCAGACCCCAAAATGTTTAAGGGCTCAAACACAGTAGGAGTTTTTCTAGCTCAAGCAACAGTGCAGGTCACTGGGTGCTATCTATTCAGAACATTCATTCAGATTCCGGGGGTGTGGCTCAGCGGGGGAGTGTTTGCCTGGCATGCGTGAGGTCCTGGGCTGCATCTTCATCCCAGCAAAACAAAACCAACTCAGATTTACAAGTTCAGAGTCTCTACTGTCTGCAGCATTGGTTTTCAAAGTTGCCTGGCGATATCTTCATTCCTCAGTGGAAGAAAATAGTGTGAAAAAGTGTGCACGGGATATTTTGTGGACCAAGACTAGAAGTGGGGTACATCACTTCTCATGTTCTATTGGGTAAAACTCAGTCACGTGACCACAACTAACCATGGAGGCGTCTGGAAAATGTGGTCCTTCGTGGGGCAGCGCTTCCAGTGACAACAGCAGTGTGCTTCCACAGAAGAGGTAATTCTCTCTGCGACGGCATATAAATCAACTTGGAGATGTTCAAGGATAAGGTTGCAGGATGGAACAGTGGGAGAAATGGAAAATTATCAGATGCTCCCTAAATGACACTCTTAGGATAACATCTTGCCCCATGTGGGCAAGAAGCAGTGGCGATTTCTCAAAATGCACGTGGCCATTCTCAGCCTAAGACTTTAAGTATCACCACGCTGCAAGTGGCCAGTGAAACAGGAAGGGCATTCTTACCTTTATTTTTCATTCCACAGTCTTCTTGCTCTGTTTTGCATCTAAACACACCAAGTTGGGATGGTTCAGTGGAATTCTGTTCCTCCAACTACAAGCTACAGTAATCTATAAGAAAGTTCGTGATTTCCTTAGATCATGGAACTCTCTGTTCCTCTGGGCTTGAAGAGATTATCCTTCCATCTTTGCTCCGGGTCTTTGAACACTTAATCGCCAGGGGAAAATCCTGAACCCAGGAAAGACCTTCAAACCAAGTTATTCAAGAAATACTTAAAAGTAGACTTTAAAGTCAGGCACGGTGACACATGCCTGTGATCCCAGAACTCAGGAGACTTGGGCAGGAGGATGGCCAAGAGTTCAAGGCCAGCCTTGTACTACATAGCAAGACCCTGTCTCAAGCAAAAAAAGAGACTAAAAAGCTCAATCTAGAGATATTAATGCTCCTGCCAAGGATTTCATATATAATTCATTTTCTCTTTAGGAAAATTTCAAAATATTTACTGAAATAATAAGAGGTAAATTCGTAAGTCTTATTTAAAGAACCCTTAACTCATTTTGTATTTTATGTAGACTTGTACACATTGCTTATCTTGATACAGTTGTCCCCTCGCTGGTAAATTCCAGAGAAACTGTACAGTGGTGCCTCTAATTTAAAGGCCTCCAATAAAAATGGACAGGAGTCTTTGAACAGCCCAGTACCCAGCCCCCTAGCTTTGTTGTTGATATCTGGCTAAGCGCTCTGGTTTCTGATTAAATGTTGCCACTGGACTTTACATTTCTGGCACTCACATCGACACCCTGAAGAGCATGTATTGTCCATTGTGCGAGGCAGTTACTGGCCAATTTGACAGCCTTTCAGACTTCTGATGAGAGAGCCTGATACATGGCCGTCTCTCCTACTACTCCTGCCTAACCTCCGCTCAAGTTCCACAGCAGGCATGGACTGAAGAAAAGTGGGATAGAATCACAAGTTGATTTTTTGCAAAAACACCTCTACCCCTGAAAATCCATTTTCCCGCTTTACTGGGGACTGAAATTATCTACTAAGCTGGGAGCTGGATGGGCTGGCGGGTGAAGACAAAGATAAAACCAGGCTGAATGGGGGAGGCAGCGCCTGCCCAAAGAAGGTAGCCAAAGGAATAAGATGAGAAGTACCAGGTTCCAAAAGCTGGAGCCAAATGGGGCTGCTCTATTGCTGGAAGTCCCAGGCTAACAGCGTCTGCCCCGGAAGGCCACAGAGAAGGAGGAAAGATGTCAAGGTCTGTTCCTTTGGGAAACTGTCTGTCGCCACTTCTTAGTTTCACCGGCCATCTGGTATGACTCAAGGACACATACAATTTGCTGGAATTGACGCATGAGTGGTGTTGGGAGCAAGGTGGGGGTTGACCTCTTCATGTCTAATTTCTACCTGCCTAGTGCACAGGGAGAGATGTGTGATCACCAAAATGAATAACCAGAATTTCACTACAATCAACACATAGTAGTTAAAGGAAAGCCACAGATTCTCATGACCTCTCATTCATGTTAGTCCTCACGGAAAACTCCAGCAAAACGAGATCATGTACAAATACACATTTTAATGCAGGGTATGGTGGTGCACACATGTAATCCCAGCGCTTGGGAGGCTGAGGCAGGAGGATCATTGTGAGTTCGAGACCAGCCTGGGCTACAAAGTGAACTCAAGGCCAGCCTGAATTGCATAGCGAGACCCTGTCTCAAAATGACAAAAAAAACCTCCACATTTTGTAAATATTTTGATTTGACTTTAAAAAAAGCACCAAGGTCGATCTCACGGAGCATTGCTTCGCCTTCATTTCTATTATATTGTTTTTTTCAGTTTTAGCTGCACATGAGTTACATAATTCCAATTTGGGAGCCCAGTCTCTGCAGAATTTGCGTCATCTGCAGTGCTTAGTGGCTGTGACCCACACACAGCAGACGCCAGTGAACACAGCAGCCTCAGAGAGCAGCGCAAGGACCATTTGTTACTTAAACCCCAGAGGTTTTCTAGCTGTCAGGACACAGAAATGCTAGCTAGCACCCTTCCTCTGGTCAGGGTTATAAATGTTCCATTACTCCCTTCAGAGGATTTTGCAATAAGCCCATGTCATAGTCACCAAAGCTAAGAATTCATGGTAATAAGGCTTTGTAATTTCTCACACTGAAATCCCCTAATTTCGTGTCAAGAACCAACTTGGAAAACACCACACTGAAAACTTTAGGGTTTTGTTTTTAATTCAAGAAGCCTCTGGTTTTCATCAGAGCTTTAAAGCTTCTTCTTATCTCCAAAATGGTGTGGGGGTTTTTTTGTTTTTTTTTTTTTTTTTTGTTTTTTCTCCGGTTCCGGGAACCGAACTCACGACCTTGCGCTTGCCAGACAGGCGCTTTGCCGCTGAGCTAAATCCCCAGCCCCCTCACTCTATTTCTTTGAGTGTATA